AATCCGACGTTTCATCGGATCTATTAATGTGGGTGGAATAAATAATAATGAACGATGATACGTGTTTGTCCCTTTTTATCGACACGTTTTACCAATATCAAACGACACAAATACCTATACGACTAAAATGCGAACAATAAATACTTTGTTTCATCGAATCATCTTTTTCAACTGTTGTTTTAATAAAATGATGTCTTGTTTTTTATTATTAACAATTTGTAAAGGATGAAATTAAAGAATCTTTTTTAAATTAATACGAATGCTATATGATCGATTAATATTTAATGATATTGATAATCAAATAGGAAAATAGATAACACATAAATAGAAAATCTATATTCCTAAGTAGGATTATTGCGTTTATTAAGAAGAAGCGTGCGAGATAAGCAAGCAACCACTCACTCACTCATTCAGATTGGAATGAAGAAACACCGGGAATGTAAACTCGTTAAACCATATCTTTGATTAGAATTCTAAAGTAAAAAGAATTTCGAATTCTAGTGAGATTTAAGTGCTATCTGAAGCCTGTAATTTGCGTTTAGATAGATCTCGATAGATCTATCTATATTTCATTTCATTTCGACGAACAGCACACACACACAACACACACACACACACACGTTTCTTCTATGGGATGATTTTATTCAAACGATATGATCCTTCTCCTTTAGCATAATTAATCGTATCGATCGGTAATTATCATCATCATCATCATTTCTTGCATAAACTAGCTGGACTAACATATTTTCTATGAAACTTTTACTTTCATTTTCAGTCGAATACAATTTGGTTAATCCCGTTACGATTAATTTCAATTACTTAAAAAAAAAGTTCACGTTTATAATAATATATTATATTTGCGATAATAAATATTTAAATTAATTTATATTATAATTTAGTTTGAAAAAAAAAAAGAAAGAGAGAGAGAGAATGCTGAAAATGATTCACCATAAGTGTAGTTCGCATAAAGGGAATGATCAAACGATAAGAGAATGAGAGAGAGAGAGATAGATTGAATGTTTAAGATCTCTCTTTCTCTTTCTCTCTTTCATTTTATTTCTTTAAACTCGATGATATCCAGTCGAGCGATCGATCATAACCATGAAGCTTCCCCATTGTTCTTCCAACGCCCGGTGGTTGTTACATGGTATACACCATAGGCGCGTTGAATAGGCGCCTTATGTGGGATATAACTCTGTTGAAAGTGTCGACCCGGATTATTATCGCAAAATGGGATCTTTCTCAAACAGCGGGTTGCCCCCTTTTACCCTGCGAACTTGTTTCCAAATCCGTCGAACAACAAATCCACCCGACGTTCATCAATTTTCTCTACCTACCTATGGTATATATCATACCATACCACATATATATATATATATATATATATATATATATTTATTTTATCGCGATAGGAAAGATAAGATCATTATCATTATTATCATCATCATTGTCATCGTCATCATCCGATTACTTCCGCTTGAAAAAAGATCAATTTCTTGATCCCTTGAAAAAAACAAAATTACCTTCCCAAAATTTAAAGCCCCCTTTTGTATGGTAAATCAATTTTAACTCTTGAATTTTCTCCTACACACACACACACACAAACACTCGCATTTAATTCGCAATGCAACGTGATTATCAATAAGAATCACGGATATACATAAATTTGTGACTTATGTTAATTTCATTTAGTCGAAAAAGTTTTTAATAGGAATGAGAAACTTTAATACGATTTTCACCATGATAATTGAGTGTTGCTGCTTACGATGGGGAGGAGGAGGATTGTATAAATTTCAGAGAAACAATACACGAATAATTTATTTATTTATTTATTTATTTATTTATTTATTTATTTAAACGAACAACTTTAAAGATAATAGCAACGATTGAAACAATTGGTGCAACTTGATTAATCAGTTTTTCCTTTCGAAAATTTCAATTTAATTTTGATTAGCGTATTAGAAAAATTTAGGAATATCTTCATCATTTTTTAGATGATATTATAAATACGTTGCATCGTTATATATTATGCATTTCTCCTCCCCCTCCTCCTCTTCACGCAACGTGTATACTACGTGGGTTACAACACGCATGCGTCGCCATTGTTGTTCATCTCTTCTCATTTCTACTTGTTGTTGTTGTTGTTGTTGTTGTTGTTGTTGTATAGTGCACGTAGGTAGAATGTAAAACTCGACGAGTTTGTATGCAACATGCACCGACACAAAGGTTCTTACCGGTTATCGCGCTTCGAGGATTCTTGTCCTCATTCCACCCCCCTTTCTCCCCCTCTCATCATTTCCTTTGAAGATCAATAAAAGTGTAAAGAAGTCGAAGAACCAACTCCTTTCTTCCCCCTTTTTTCGTTTTCCCATGTATTTTACGTATAATACATGAACATTGTTGTTCATTAATATATATGAGTTTCAAAGGGAAAATTGAAGACAGTTAATAAATTTTGATGAACAAATTTATTTGATCTTGTTGAAC